AACAAGTTAGTCTGAATGCTAACAAGTTAGTCTGAATGCTAACAAGTTAGTCTGAATGCTAAAATTAGACACCACTTCAGCATAGAAGCAGTATATTTTTAATTGAGTTTAGGAGAGGCTATTGGATCACTACATGATTTATAAGTAGAAGTATTTGAATAAAGTACTGGCACGGTGCCACCCTAGTAAATATTTTTAAAAGGTTTGTTTTGTGTCACAGGAAGTGCAGGACAACACGCGGCCAGGGAGCATGTCAATGTCTTCTAGAGGGAAGAAAATCAGGACGTTTCTGATCAGCCACGCTCGATGATTATTTTGTCGTGTAGATAATTACGACTCAGATCGACTCACAGCATGCAAGAAAAGTGTCTCAGGGATAAGTGATGAAGATTAATTCCAGCAAGCTGGTCATTTTTTATTACGAGGTGATTGTTTTACGGCCTGGAGAGTGGATGTGCATCATTTTAATTTGACTATTTCTCCTGCAAAAGCCAATCCGTCAGTTGAAATAATTACGGCTCATTTATCTTTTCCCTGTCACATGACCACACACAGATTTTAACGGATGTTTAAGCTTGAATTTTAGGAATATCGGTTTGTTAAAATTAAAAGTAACTGTAAGAAAAAGGTTCATTATCAATAAAATCAAAAGATTTATTTTCTGATGGCAGCTTTAACATCCCCTTTGGCCTGTCAAAAATTTGAATATAGTGAGAATTGATTTTGAGGAGTTCAAAGCATCCTGTGTGAAGGTCTTGGGCTGCTCCATACATCAATCCACCTGCGCCCACCTCCACCTAAAAACGACCTCATGGCTGTTTGTGTTAGCACGCCTGACTTACTCTTGAGCTCCAATCACAGTCCTACAGCTGCTGGAGGTCACCTCACCATAAAACTTAACCACGGGGAATAATAAGCTGCTGCCACCGACGTCCAGTCGTGAGAAACGTCTGTTATTGAACAAACTGCTGTAAGGACACTGGTGCAAAAATGAAATGTGTTTCTTTTTTATGGTATTTGTTAATGTACATATCAATCAGCCAAAATAACTTGACGCCGTAAACAGCCAATGGAGCAAAGACGTGTGGAGCGCAGGGATAATATCAATCACTTCAGCAATCACTGGAGGATATAAATATTTCCGGGAGGGAAAATATAGGCTTAAATGTCGTTTGAATAAATCCCCGCTACAGCGCCGAATCACACGCCCAAACAGTGCGGCATGCATAAATATAAACAGGCGGAGATTTTGATCCAAAGCCTCTTATACGGGCTTTTGCTGATTTTTCATCCAAAAACGACAGGCTGCTGATCCTCCTCTTGGCTCATGCTGTGAAACCTTCAGTGTCAGAGGGCTTCGTCTGCAACACCAGAGCCCCATGACCAAGTTGGGGAGATTTAAACAGAGTTGGGAGTGGATTAGACTTGGGTGGCAACACCATCTCCCACTTCCAAAACTTATTTTCAAATTGCTTATATTTATAGTTTATTGCTGTACCTGTGGCGGTCCAAAGTCAATGTGACTTCATCATAATGAACGATATTTTTCATTGCCACTGACACTGCTGTAATATTAAAATACAGACTGCAGGTTTGGCCTGAATATCTTTACAGTTTTCCTTCTAAATCCAATTTCCAACCAGCGCAAGCAATGTTTCCTCTGTGACGGTGATGGGATATTGCACAAAATGTCTGCATGAGTTGAGAGGGTTAAACTCAGAAATTTAAATTTCCCTGCAGCTAAATAATAAATCAAGCCAAAAAAAAGCATACAGTACAAGGCAGTAATGGTAGTAAAATAAAATAAAACAATTGTTTTTTTATGCTAAATCTGATATCTATGATGTCAACAACAAACTTTGTGAACCAACGAGGTGGTGGGATGTTTAGAAGATTACTTAATTGTCAAATAAAAAAATACGAATGTAACCTTCACTTGAGTTGTTCAGTAAACACGGTTGAACTTAAGCCAACAACAGCACAAACCATTTCAATCATGACGTACCCAGAGATTACCAGCCCATAAGGCATCTGCATAATAACCTGCCACTAAAGTATTGGACTGAAGGGAGGAAATTACCAAAAGGTGAAGAGGAAAAAGGAGGAGAAGAAGAAACATTAGTTCAGGTTCAATGTTAATCACTAGTCCTGAAAATCACACTGTGGTGCTGATTATTAAATACTGTATTTCTGTACTGGTTAACAAAGCAGGCAGCATCCCTAAAGAACCTAATAATAATAATCAGCAACTTGAACTTTTTTTGGAAATACTTTAAATTGAAAAAATTGAAAAAAAATGTTTCTTTGACCATCCAACTACTGAGGGAATAAACATCAGATAGAGTTTGTCTACAATCAAATGAAGTGAGCTGAAGTCAACACTGCTGCTCTACCTAAAGGAGCCGAAGTCAACACTGCTGCTCTACCTAAAGATGACACACCTGGTCCTGACTTTAGTATTATTTTGCTGTTGGCAAGCAGGTCAACAATTAAGTGTGGTGTTTTAATCTACTAAATATACTGATCCACTGTATCACAGTCAGGCTTAACTTGGTCGTATTGGGCTCAGGAGCCACAGGTTACACACTGCTGTACCATCACAGTTACAGTATTAATAGAATCAGTCACACAAATCACACCCAACACATCATGGTGATAAAGAAATCAGTGTAATCTGATTATTCAGTAAAAATAATCCAATGTCAAAATCATTAAATGTTAACAAATAATGTTAGAATGTTGCCAGAATAGTTAGAACTAGTTAGTTAAAATAATGGAGAAGAGAAACAGTTTGGAAGAGCTCAGTTATCAGTTATAATAGGGTTTTTAACGTCATGCTACTTTGAAAGTGTTTTAAAAAGAACACAAAATATTAATTAATAAATTCTTACATTTGCGTTTATATGTTTCTTCGTTCATCGTAATAACAGTTTATTACTATCTCAACTCACGCTCATGTTTGTAACGGAAGTTCCTATCGGTACCAAAAGGAATGTTTAGATTTTTCTGACCGCCTTAAATGTCACACATCCCCTCAAAGAGCCTTTAAACGGGACAGTGTCAACACAACACAAGTGTCAAACACCAACTTCCTATCACAACAAATGCTTAAAATAATTGATAACAACTGAAAATAAAACACGTAACAGAAGCACGTAAAGTAAACATTCCTGGCTGTGCTGCGTTCAAGGAACCTTGGAAGGAGACAAAACGCGCTGCTGTCAAAATACACGCTCACAACAAAGTAAAAGCAGCGGTTTTTGAAACATTGTGAAAATGTAAGGGAATTCGGTTAAGTTGGAGAAAAGACTCCGGAGTCTTACCTTGTTTCACACACTTGAGTCGGACCGGGTTTTTGCTGTGTCTGACCACAGCGTGGACGTCCCTGGTGGTGAGTCCGACCACCGGGGTATCGTTGACTTCCAGCAGCAGTTCATCCTGGAGGAGTTTACCGCTGTGGCACAGCGCTCTCTCCGCCGCAGGCTCGGCGATGACGGGGAACTGTCCGTTCTCCGCGCCGCCCTTCAGCTCCAGCCCCAGCTCCCCGTCCTCGTTCTTGAAGAGGACACTCTCGTGGACTTTGTTAGTCCAGTGGTTCTTCCTCTTCTTCAGAGTCTTGGACATGGCTCCAGGCTCCAGTGAGAAAGGTGGGGGGGGGGAGAAATCACATGAGTGCAGCCGTGCTAGAAGAAAGTTGGCCCGGTCGTGTTTGTCTGGAGTCACCGCAGCAGCGCTGCCGTGGAGAGAAGAGTGTGTCCAGTTTTAACAGTGTACCACAGTTGTTTCCATGTCAACACACACACTCACTCGTACACAGTCTTACACACTCACATACTCTAACACAGCAGCTGGATCATCAGTCTGCAACAACTGAGAGCTGCTGCCCAACTTGTGCTGCCTTCACGTGCTGAGACTCAGATCGGAACTGACAGTACAGAAAGGGTCACGTCCCATTCCGTCCTACAGTGAAGGGGTTTTTTATGATCTGGACCATTTGAGTATGTGAATGTGACCAACGTTATCAGAACCTTTTAGAACCATGGCCGTCTTAATGAGGATTAAACCATTTTACTTTTTTTGTTTGTTTTTGTTTTGATGGAACATAACAAAAAACTTCCCTTGGATTCCTATAGTGGAACCAGACTAGTCAAGATCCTGGATTCGATTTTCAAATCTAAAACATATGGAACACATATCATATGGAAAAGGAAAAAAACAATACGCCCACCATTGTGACAACCTGAGTTCTAGTTCCTTCTACTTGACAACCTGACCCTGAAGAGGAAACACCAAAGAAGAAGAAGCATCAAAAATCCAATCTCAAAGTCTACAGCAAGACTTGGCTCAAGAAGTAGAGGCTATGTTAGCTCTGAAGTAGAACGTTAATAAAAACACGGACGGGTGGCCTAGTGGTTAAGAGATCAGACTTGAAATCAAAGGTTCGTTGTTCAAATCCTGGTACGACTTGGTCACGTTACTGGGACTTCAGCCCAACACTGGGACACTTCACAGTTGACAAACATTGTTGTGCCGATAATCCAGTGCATGATCCTGAATATTAATCACTTCATTAATTAATATTCTGCCACCTAATGGACATAAGATGTTCTATTTTTCCTTAAGCACGTGACTGGTAACAATCCACTTGTACTGGTTTCCATGCATCCAAGTCTACAACTTAATACCAAGTCCTTGAATGCACCATCAGCTCCAAACATCCCAACTGACCCGGATGTGAAGAAAGGAAGAGGAGGAGGAGAGAGAGGAGGAGGAGAGGAAGGAGCAGCGGGAGGAGGCGGAGGCGAGGCTTTCCCCAAATCCAGCTTTCCATGAGGAAAAAAAAGGAGCTGCAGAAAGTTAGAGCCACAGTGTTTCCACTGGAGGAGCAGCAGAGCTGCAGTAATGAGGGTTTTTTATAGACCACAAAAATGCTGCTTCTTCTTTTTGTTGACACTTCACATCACACACTGTGTGCAAGTAAAAATGCCTCTAACCTTGTTGGCTTTAAAGAGATAGCTTGTGTTTTTTTTTTACATATAAAAAGGTTTTTATAATGAGGTTTTGTTCACTGCACCAAAGTCCCCTAGAGAAAACCATCGATTTCAAATCACGGCACACAGTAACTGCCTGATTGACTGCTGTCCAATCAGTGATGTTCAGGGACTTTGCTGTCTGAAAATGTTCACTGGCTTGTCTCTTATAAAACAAAATGATGAAACAAGAAAAGCCATGATGAGCAGCTCCTGTGTCGCTGACTGCTAGAAACACAATTTATTTCTATGAAGTTTCAAGAAGCTTCAAAGAGATAAAAGCTCAAAGCAAGTTTATATATAAAAATATAAGTCTTGGTCGTTCTTTCATCTAAACCTGGAGTTTTCTTCAGCAATCAATTTCATAATGGGTAAAATCCATCCATCCATCCGTCCATCCATCCATCCATCATCCTCCACTTATCCGGGGCCGGGTTGCTAACAGTCGGAGCAGGGACGCCCAGACTTCCCTCTCTCCAGACACTTCCTCCAGCTCTTCTGGGGGAATCCCAGGCGTTCCCAGGCCAGCCGAGCGGACATAGTCGCTCCATCGTGTCTTCCTCTGGGTCTCCTCCCAGTGGGGCACGACCCGAGCACCTCCCGAGGGATCTCGAGTTCCCGATGTGAACTGGCAAAATTTGGTTAATTATTGTTCTTGCTAGAAGCCTCAGCTTTTCATGGCAACCCTAGTTATTTCTATTCCTCCCCTGCAGGGGATGCTATAAACAAACTGTGAGCCACGCAAACAAATTTGAATAATGGAACAATGACATTTGTATGTTTTAAAACAGCAATGTTTCGATTCCCAGAAAATCTAGTAGGGGAAATAAAAATAAACTAGCAAAATCCATGCTATTAGGCTAACTGCTTATCCCAACGCTTCCCATGTTACGCAATTCTTCTGTTCTCCTTCCTTCTTCTTTCCCTTGAAAGCAGATGGCATTTTTTGAGTTCCATCACTGCCACCTGGTGGCTCTACTTCCCGCTAGTGAACTACAAACAAAATGTTTTCAAAGAGCAGAGTAAAAACAATGAATCTGATTGTTGGTTTTCTTGCGAGCTCTACCCCGATGTCCGCCCTGGGGCTGGAACAACTGCCTCCACTCACATCACGACTCCCACATCTCTGGCGTCTTTGTTCTTCCCCTCGGAACAAAAACTTCATCAATTACTATGATGGAGCTCCACCTTTTCTGGGTGGACAAGGACGTACAAAGGTCACTGTGATGTTGGAGAAACCTTTAGGACACTCTGTCATCCGGGTTTTTTCTGCCTTTCCTCCTCAGGTGAACTCGTAAACAAACACTTTTGTTCCATTCAATGCCCTCAAGGTTTTTGGCAAAGGAAATATTTGACTTTTATGAATAAACCTCACGTGCAGTAAGATTTCCTCCCCTAATATTGACACAGAGATTTACAGGTGTATTGGATTAGGCAGTTATGAAGTCATTGATCTGCTTTAAAATATAATAATAAAGCTTATTGTATATTTATATGAATACTTTCTTAATTTTTCATATACTCACTACAAACTATAAACAATACAGATACTAGGAGCAGTATCTTTACTGGGCCCAGTAGTTCATTCAAATACGCGTTAATTTTTGTGTCTAATGTGACAAGAGTCAGTCTGAAGACTTTTTGTTTCATATAAAAATATTTGTTTCTGTTTGGACTGAAACAGTATTATGTTACTGAACAGAAAATTAAAGTAGGTATAAGAATATACACACACTGCACATTTCCCAGCTTCCCCACCTACAATACACCGTCGTCCAGTTCACTGCAATTTATTGAAACTCAGTCTAAAGAAGTACCGTTGAGTGGACTTGATCTCCGTGACATTCAGTTTGTTAATCAGAACAACCCTGATATTAAACTCTTGATTTTCATAACGTGCTCTCACAGCAGCAGCTGCAACAACAACAATTTCCCTGCAGGGATTAAAACAATTTTTCAGATTTCCCTTTACGACTTTTTAAAACACAAATATCCAGTATCATAAGGTTTAATTTATAAAATTAAATTTTAGAATTTCACCCTAGAATTCTTATACCACTAGATCCCCAGAAAAACATCAACCACATGACTTCAGCGTCCTCAAAGGTCGCCTAGGTTCCTGGTGTGTGAACTGGTGCAACTCTGTTATTTAATTCAATTTGTTTTTACTTTTTTTCTTCTTTTAAACAAAATCTTATTTATCAAGAGCCAAAGGAAGCGGTGCATTCCCAGTTCCACCTCGAACCACATTTCGCGTCCCTGAGTCATGGCCCGACGACAAAAAGCTACAAAACAATGGTGTTTTGTTTTTGTTCCTTCACAGGATTTGGACAGGAGCCTGAACATTCCAGGGGTGGCTGCTGCACAGAGGGGAAATTAAAAAAGGAGGAAGAAAGAACAAGAGAAAGAAAGTCAAACTGATGGGAGGATTTGAATAAGGGCAAGAATTCTGGAGGCAGTGTTTGAACAAGAAGTGGAATTCTCTGCTCGTGGCAGAATCTGTGTTGCTGAGGAGGAGAAGGAGAAGACCAGCAGCTGAGGGAGTGAAGGAGCTGGAAAACCGGGAAGGGATTTGACTGTAAAAGACACTCCGGCCTGGCACAAGAAGCTCGTAAAATGTTGGATGACGAGATTCAACTGGACCACAGAACTAAAAGACTGAAATCATGGTCAGATTTCCTCATCGTGTCTTTGACATTTCCCTTTGGGATTTTGACACAGTGCAAGAGCAGCAGCTTCCATCAGTTTCCATGGATTTCCTAATTTGGGATATCACAGTGTTCAGCCCGTCAGTGACTTCCACATGACCAGATGGGAGTCTGGTGATGCTGCCTGTGGGAATGCCACAGTGCTCTGCGACATGATGTAATGGTTATGACAGGCCTCATTGCGAGGATAATTAAAGCTGGTCAGGGATGAAGTGAAATTGCCCGATGATGGTTTCGCAGTGGTGATGGAAGAAGAAGTTATTATCCTCTTCAGCCTGAGCCAATGGAGCTATTTCCAGCTCCAGCTGAGCCAATGTTTAGTGATAAGGCAGCGTGTTTTATACTGTTAAACTTGATGCTCTAACCATCACGTCCTCTGTAGGCTGTGAAACGTCTGTTCTCTTCTACAGCTTGACCTCCAGGAATGGAAATGTTCCAAGATGGAGAAGAGGATGAAAAATCCACTCTAATGCTTTGGAAACACTCAGTTTTGTCAAAAGTGTAGCTGGTAGAAAAGAAAAAGATGATTGTAAAGGACAGCGCCACATGGTGGCTGAAGAAGTTACACCTTTTTCCTTCTGTTTTGTCTCATTCTGACACATCTGTTTCTAGTTGTTTTTTTACGTTCTTACCCTTAGTTTGTGGTTTTCATCATTGTTTAATCAGTGTGTTTCAAACTAAAGCCTATCTAACCTGTCATCTTTCACACCAAAGTCTCTACAAAGAAATCATTTACTTAAAGAGATGCCTAACGATTGGTTACTATTCTTTATCCTTGTTTCCATTTTGTTAACATCCACTTTTCAGTTGAGAAAGTTGACCAAAAAGGTAAACAGGAGATTAGTAATTATTGTTTACCCCCAAGCTTAAAATACTTGTTTTCACAATGGAGTTTGATGTGGACAAAATACAACTATTTACCTCATAGAAGACATGGTCTTAAGAAGACACAAATAATTTTTCTTAAACTAATCTCACATTTTTTGAGGTAACTAAATATGCATGCTGACTCCTCCGACTTAAATCACAATTCAGAAATAATTCATAACCACAGTTGTTCACGGTGTAACAGTTAAATGTGGATGAATTATTTACCAAGCAGGATTTAAAACCCTGAAAGAGGTTTTAACAGTCTAACAACGTGGGCCTCCCTCTGAGGAGCGAACAATACATCCACACAGAAGGATAGGATAGGAAAGGAGTGAAAATGAACAAAAATGTTCTTTACATTATTCTTTGAACAATGAGACTTAAAATAAGGTTTAAGTTGAAAATTCTCGTTGTCATGCTTCCTCTGTTTTCCTGCTCTAATA